GGGGAGGACTGGGCTGGCTCTGCTGGCTTCTGGGGGTGGAAGCTCTCCTGCAGCCCCCCGATTGCCCCCTCCCCCCGGATGGCAACCTGTGGCAAGTGCAGCCGGGCTGATGGCCGAGTGCTGAGTGTGGGCACTCAGGGCACTCCAAGACAGGACTGCTTTGCAAGCGGGGAACCCTGAGAACTGTCTGTCCGGGGTGGGGGTCGGATCCCTTTAAGCACAGCCCTCGGCTAGCCTGAGACAGCATCTCCACACTCTAAGTCCTAACCTGATGCCCTGCCGGCACTGCTTCCGGCCAGCCTTAACCCCGGTTCAGGGTCCACTCTGTGTGGACATGCTAGTTCGAATTAGCAAAACGCTAATTCAAACTAGTTTTTAAGTCTAGATGCGTTAGTTCGAATTAGCTTAGTTCGAATTAACTAGTTCAAACTAAGTTAGTTCGAATTAGTGCTGTAGTGTAGACATACCCTCAGTTACCAAAACTCAGGATCCATTTTTCAATGGATTGAATAGCCAGGACTGTGAAATGAATCCACACAGCAGCCCCTGCCGACGTACGCTCATCCTGCTGGAAGGGCAGAACAAGTGGGGTTCTGCAGGGGTCTGTTTTGGGGCCGGTTCTGGTCAATATTTTCATCAACAACTTAGATATTGGCATAGAGAGGACGCTTATTAAGTTTGCAGATGATCCCAAGCTGGGAAGGGTTGCGATTGCTTTAGAGGATGGGTCAGAATTCAAAATGATCTGGAGAAATGGTCAGAGGGAAATAAGAGGAAGTTTAATAAGGACAAATGCAGAGAGCTTCACTTAGGAAAGAACAATCTGTGTCAAACATACAGAATGGGAAGCGACTCTCTGGGAAGGAATCCTGCAGAAAGGAATCTAGGGGTCAGAGTGGACCACAAGCTAAATAGGAGTCAACAGTGGGACATTCTGGCAAAAAAAGCAAACATGACTCTGGGCTGCATTAACAGGTGTGTTGTGAGCAAGACACGAGGAGTCGTTCTTCTGTTCTACTCTGCACTGATTAGGCCTCAGTTGGAGGATTGTGTCCAGTTCTGGGCACCACATTTCGAGAAAGATGTGGAGAAATTGGAGAGGGTCCAAAGAAAAGCAACAAGAATGATGAAAGGTCTGGAGAACATGAGCTATGAGGGTAGACTGTAACACTCTGTAAAACCGTTATTATGTCTTCTCTTTTCCAAACTAAACAAACCCAGTTTTTTCAAAGAGGGAGGGAGAAAACTTGTTCTCCTTGGCCTCTGAGGACAGGAGAAGAAGCAATGGGCTTAAACTGCAGCAAGGGAAGTTTAGGGTGGATATTAGGAAAACGTCCTACCTGTCGGGGGTTAAACACTGGAATAAGTTGCCCAGGGAGGTTGTGGAATCTCCGTCACTGGAGATACTTAAGAGCAGGTTAGACAGACATCTATCTAGATGGTACTGAATCCTGTAGTGAGCGCAGGGGACTGGACTTGATGACTTCTTGAGGTCCCTTCCAGTTCCAGTGTTCTGTGATTCTATGAGAAGAAATGGCCATATTGAGTCCAACCAATGGTCTATCTAGATCACCAATCCATCTTCCAGAGGTGGCCGGTGTCTGAGGGATGAGAGGAATTGTGCCCAACAGGGATGCCCAGAGGTTGGGAACTGCATCCATGGCTATCTTGGACGTTAGCCATGGGTGGCCTATCCTGTATGAACTTAGTGGGGTGCTTTGCCTGCCTATTTTTATTGAAATATGCTTTTGAACAGGAATACACACAACTCAAAAATGCTTTGTGAAATATAGGTCAAGTAGCCGAGAGCCAGTGATCCCCTAAATGTGTACACTGTTTGTGTGCATGCATCATTCTTGTATGGGGTGTTAGAAATATGAAGTGCAAACCTGCTTCTTCATCTAAAATTTTCAGTGAGAGCCATTAGTGGTATGAGTCCTGCCCCCTGCTCAAAACAGGACCAACCCAACCCAATCATCCTAGCCAGGGCTTGGTCAAGTCTGGACTTAAAAACCACTAGGGATGGAGATTCCACCCCCTCCTTAGGGAACTCACCATCCCAGTGATAATGGTCTGTAAATGGTTTACTTTTTGCCTCTACGCCCAAATTCTGGTTGGTCCTACAAAGACATGTGAGCATGCCACGGTGCTGGAATCCATCCTGGGTATGACATGTTTCCATGGGGATGGGACGATGTAAACAAAAGATTCCTGTGCTAGGGAAATTCTATGTAAGGAATGGGAAGCCGTCACTGTCCTTTTCAGCTTGGCTTTTCAAAATGGCCTCCCCACCCCAAGTGAGAGAAAAGTTACCTCTGACTTGAAGGAATTTACCTGCAACATGCAGAGGAGTGAGATATATATTTGTAAAATCTCTTAGGCCGCGTCTTCACTACCAGTGCTCAATCTTCTGGAGTTTGACTTAGCAGGTCTAGTAAAGACCTACTAAATCAAATGCTGGTTGATGCTGGTACTCTTCAATTTGCAGGGAGTCAAGGAAGCCAACGAACGAGAGAGAAGGTGTGTGAGACGCACCTGAGGAATTTTAGCTGCAAAGTGCTAGCTGGGAAGCACGTAGCCATTGTGTGTGAGGAATGGTGGTCAGAAACTCTAAGGGTATCCCTTACTCTGAGACTAACAGAAGCCTACAGGCTCTTCAACACTATCTGCCCTCTTTTTTTTTCTGAGAGAAGAAGCCATAAAAATGGAGTCGAGGGAAAATTCCTTCCTGCTGGGGAGCAGGAGAGGTGCAGGAGGAGGTCTGGGGTTCAAGCTCTGGGATGGAGCCAAGGATTGGGGTGCAGGGTACGGGCTCTGTGATAGAATGTGGGTGCAGGGTGTGTGTTGGGTGTAGGTTCTTGCCTGGGGCAGGGAGCACAGGAAAAGGAGTCTGCTCAGGGACCCCACATCCTTTGCAGCAGGAAGCCACGCTAGCCCATCTGGGCTGCCAGTTGTGGACACAATGGCCCTGGGGCTTTCTAAAACTCCTGGCAGGCCCGGGGACGCACTGGGGGAGTGTGCAGGGCAGCAGGCAGAGCTGAAGGGGGTACAGGGGGAGCACATGGGGTGGCAGGCAGGCTGGGGGTTGCACAGGGGCAGAGGGTGCAATAACAGCCATCAAGGCCATGTCTCTGTCCAGCCCTGGAGCTTGGTCCCAGGTGAGGAGAGTTCCTGGTTACGGGCCCATATCACTCCCCACTGACGATTGGACGCAGGGGTGATGAGGGGCACACAAGGGGTCAAGTATCCCAATCACCATGGCTGCTAGGGGCCAGCCAGAAACTGGTGAGGGGCATGGGGGCAGGGCGGGTCTGTTGCCCATAGCAGGGGTCTGGGCCCCTCTGCACTCCCAGACGGGGGCAGCAGAGCAGTTGTGTCCGTCTGAACTTTTCTGGGGGACCACAGATGGCGTGTTCCTCCTTTTCTTGTTCCTGGGGGCACCTGGACCACAAGGCCTAGGGGTCTCAGCCCCATCACCAGAGCAGCCACAAACCAGTGGGGGCTTCTGAAAATTCCTCCCTCCCCGCTGCTGGAGAATGCTTATTGGCCACTTCCCATTCTCTGAAGGCAAGAGGCCACGGGGAAACGTTCCATTAAAACTCTTTCCACTGGAAAATTCCAATTTGTCAAAACGGAACCTTTTTCTGAGGGAACCGTTTTCGATTTTCATGCAAGTTTTATTGGCCTGGAAGGGAATCGCCGCTCAAAATAGAGAAAGAGACCCTGCCCTCAAAGCGGCCGGTAGTTAGACTGCCGGACAGTCGCGGGGAGACATGAGGGTGGGGATTTCCTTCGCACTGGTTGGCGCTATCCCACGATGGATAAATAATGAAATACTTAATGCTCCAGAGAGCTGGATGCTCTAGAGTGGTGCGTTGGGCCTTTTGGGAGGGGGGAGGGGTGCGAATGAGAAGAGTCCAAATCTTTGCTCATCCTGTTTTGGAAAAAGGAACCTAGAACTCCTTCAGGGCATGTGTCCTAAACACTCTGCTGTTCTGGGTTGGATGGGCCTTGCTCTTGTGTAAAATTTCAGTAGGCCTCAGTTTCAGCCTGAGGTAGATTAGGCAAGGAAAGTGCTAGTGAGGGGTCATTTTGCGCCACAGATTTCTCCTCAGGGCTGTTTGGATTTCCCTGTTCCTCAGGCTGTAGATAATAGGGTTGAGCAAGGAAGGTAAAACAGTATAAAACAGGGAGAGAAGTTTACCGCTGTCTGGAAATTCCCCAGCCCGGGGTTGTAAATAAAAGACAATGCCGGAACCGTAGAATAAAGCCACGACCATGAGGTGGGAGGAGCACGTGGAGAAGCTTTTCCTCTTGCCCTCAGCAGATGGCATGATGAGGACGGTGGTGAGGATCCGGGTGTAGGAGAACAGGATCAGGGCAAAGGGTACCAGTCCAAAGAGCGTGACCACGAGGTAAGTCAAGATTTCGTTCATGGAGGTGTCGGCACAGGCCAGCAAGAGCAGCGGAGCGGAGTCACAGAAGAAATGGTTGATTTCTCTGGAGCCACAGAAGGGTAAGGAGAACACCAAACCGGTCTGCACCACCTGGGCTGGGACGCCGATAGTCCAGGAAGCGGTGGCCAGCAGGACACACACCTTCTTGTTCATAATCATGGGATAACACAAGGGGTTGCATATGGCCACGTAGCGATCGTACGCCATGGTGGCCAGAAAGGAAGACTCCGTGACACCGAAGCAAAGGAAGCAAAACATTTGCACTGCACAGCCAGCCAAGGAGATGTGTTTGTCCCCTGAGATGAGAATCCCCAGCATTTTGGGGACAGTGACCGAGATGTAACCGACCTCTAAGGCTGATAAATTGGACAGGAAAAAGTACATGGAGGTGTGAAGCACAGGATCCACCATTGTCACCAGGATAATGAGGAGGTTTCCCACCACAGCGATCAGATAAATGGTTAGCACTGCCACAAAAAGCAAAAACCGCCTCTCCGGAGAGGTAGAAAATCCCAGGAGAAGGAACTCGGTCACCACAGTTTGGTTCAAACTCATCCCTTCTTCATCGGACATCAACTGCAAGACAGACACAGATATAGAATCATAGAACACTAGAACTGGTAGGGGCCTTGAGGGGTCATCAAGTCCAGTCCCCTGCCCTCATGGAAGGACCAAGCACCATCTAGACCATCCCTGACAGATGTCTGTCCAACCTGCTCTTCAATATCTCCATGGATGGAGATTCCATAACCTCCCTAGGCAATTTTTCTTTCTTTCTTTCTTTTCTTTTCCCATACAATCTATCTATCAACCCCCATACATCCTATCTCTCTCTCTCTCTCGGCATGTCAACAGTAGGAAATTATTTCAAAATAAACTAAATTCAAAATAATAACTCCTGAAATAGCACTATTCCCTGAGGGTATGTCTAGACTATGGTGTTATTTCAAAATAGTTAATTTGAAATATCTTATTTCAAAATAATGCGTCCACGTACAAAATGCATTTTGAAATGACGCTTGCACAATGAGTGGATGTTGAATTGAAGTGAAGGCTGGTTGGAACCAGTTCCGGCAAGGCATCAGGTCGGAAGTTAACTTGTGGCCAGCAGGGCACCCTGGGAAGGGCTGGAGGCCCCCTATTTCAAAATAAGCATCTACACAGCTCTTATTTCAAAATAGCAATTTCGAATTTGGCGTTATTCCTCATAGAATGAGGCTTACCAATTTCAAAATAAGCCCTCCGCTATTGCGAATTAATTTTGACATAGCAGTTGACTTGTGTAGATGCTAGGAAAGTTATTTTGAAATAACTTTGCTGTGTAGACGTACCCTGAGGAAAGCGGGAGTACAGATTTCAAAATAACCAGCCCATCATTTCAAAATAACGGGCTTGATAGTATGGACTCTCCGCTTACTTTTTCAAAATAAGGGGAGGCTATTTTGAAACAACTCCTTGGTGTTGACCAGGGCTCAGGTGCCACAGGACTGCTCGTTGTTACTATCACGTTGTTACTATCACGTTATTCGGTGTGGGAACAAGAGACTAGCTTCATGAACCCCATTTCAGAAACAGGGTCCTAGCTGGAGCCAAACGCTTTGACTACAGGAAAGTCATCAGGAAACAAATGACCCGTTAATACCAACGATCACCGCTCAGGGCTAGCTGCGCCTCTCCTCCCTCTTGCCTTCTCCCTCAGGGCCACCCCTTTGGCACAGATGCCGGGCCTCTTGCTGTCATCTGTCTGGGGTGAGATACTGAATTCTCCCACCCTCCAAAGAGGGTGCAGACCACTGGGTACCAATGATGTTTGCTCCACGATTTTGTCTGCCCTGCAAGGTTTTCCCTTGAGATCCAGGAGGAATGGTGAGTCCATTGACCCCGGAACAGGCTTTTCTCACTG